AATGTCTCATTTGCCTCCTCGATCAACCTCTCTCCCCTCTCAACAATGCCAGAGCCCTCTGTCATCAGAATGTTATCACATCTCTCCTAATCAGCCACAGAAGAATGTCATTAACACACGTTTACTAATACATGTCCATCTCCAGGGTTACCAGTGTGTGGTGTTTCCCAGCTGCTAGGAAACGCACAGGCAACACTGCCGGGAAGATAGCGGCTCCGCGGGAGGGCGGGAGCTCCGCAGCCGGAGCAGGGGGAGAGCCGTCTGCAGGTCTGTTACCTGGGCGTTGGCGTGTTCCCGCGCAGTGCTGGAACAACAGGCAGCTCTCACCTGGTCCCGCCCGGCCCTGCGGGCGCACAGAGCAAGCCCAGACCGCTCGGCTGCTCCCCGGCCAGCCCTGCCCAGGGGCGGCCCGAGCACACTGTGCTGCTCCTGTCCTGCGGCCCAATTTACAGCCTTTCAAGCGCAAAGGATCTCTCTGCTGCGGTGAATCTACAGTCTGTGCATCGCGGACAAGGATGTTTACATTAACTGTACCTCCCTGTATATTCAAGGGTTATAAACACTGTTTGTTACCCTGGCAGGGACACCTCTCAACACACTTTTATCTCAGCAAGCTGTGGGGTTTAAAATACAGGCCTGCAGCTATGTTGAATATACAATCTTCTTAAACAGAGTGTTAAACGTAGACATCACGATTCATGTGGAGTGTAAATACTATATCGTACTATATTGTTTTTGTCGCTGTTGTTTCGTGTTAACAGTTTGGGTTGAGTTGCACATTAGCGCAAGAATTCCCTTTTGAACAACAGGGGCATCGTGCTCAGACCAACTCCAGGGACACTCTAACCCCTCAACTTTGACCCTTGAACCCCGACCCCTGGCAAGCCCCTATGTGAGCCCTGAAGTGGCACGGAAACACTCACACCAGCCACACGATGCGTGGCAGAGAAACAAAAGCAGGCTGTCCCGTACCTGCGCCCTGTGTCCTGCCTGGCGGGAGCCCTCCTCTCTCCGAGCGACTGTGGAGGGGAAGGGGTTCGAAGGAGGGGTCCAGCTCCAGGATGAGCTGGTTGAGGGTTTCCAGGGACACGTCCAGGGTTGGGGAGTCGGGGTCTATGTCCGTCAGCTCCGCCTGCTGGCTGCTGGGAATCTTGGCCGGATGAGGGGCCCAGGAGTCCGAGGAGTAGGAACAGGAGATCTGGGACAGGGAGTGACAGCCCTGGAACGGGACTGGGGACAGGGAGCGTCCCAGTGGGAGCACGTCCTCTTTGGACGAGAGACAGATGGTCTGTCCCACCCGCAGCACATGGCTGGGGATGAGCTGAGACATCTGGCCAGCTGTGGGTCTCATGCGCTCTGCAGGCCTCCTGTTGGGCTGATCTGAGGACAGGCAAGAGAAAACCTGGAACAAGAAACAAGACAAGGTCGCTTTCGTCACGTGTGCATGGATGACAGGCAAACTGTGGGGGACAGGGGGTACGGTACAGCACCCCATTTTTTCAACCTAGAGGAAACTGAACTCTATCTTTTATCAAAGCTAAAATGCATCATTTAGTACCTGTACAGGACTGCACTCGTGCAAAACAAAGTGACCTAAATAAGCAGTTATAGTGTGTTGCTGTTCATGCAAAACAACTCTCTTAAGCCACACCTTGGTGTCATGAGGGCCGTTAAACCCCTCAGATCACTGCTGTTTTCAGGAGGCATCCTTGTGTTCATCTTTAAAGCAATAAAGGCATCGAGTTACTTCAGAGTTCCTTTTCAAGGCTGGTGGAGAGCGCTTGCTTCCTAACTATTATTGCTAATCCTGTTCACTAACGTCAGTCTTTTCCACAGACAGAAGATAGCAAACACCCTTTCCGGAAGCTTATCCGGGTAAAATTCAATGGGAATTGTGGATGGGCAGTTCTCCGAAGCCCGTATCAAACAGCTGCTGGGTTATCATATCGTATTGGTTTCCTCGTGTTCTCAACCTTAAGTTCACCTGGGGTTACTGCAATTCACTCCTCTTTTACTATGCAGTACTATAGTAAATCTTCCCAAGGGTTGAAACAATGGCAGTTTTCACTGTTGTAAGGAGTAGCAGAGAGACTCAAACCATTATCCTAGTATTTTCCAAGCATTCGTTAGTGTGAAACACTCCTTTACACTACTGTGCTTAACACTGACCTAAACACTGGGCTGCATGTAGGCACTTTACCTTTACACTGACCTAAACACTGTACCTTGAGCTACACAAACAGCCTTATGTCACAGATTGAATGCTGTCACCTCAGTGTGTTTATGTGTGCAAACGCAGGACACAGAGTGTGTTTATTTGCCTTCACAGTCACCCAAACCACAGGGCTGAGGTACAGCGATTCACTCGAAAAACACAGAATGACATCAGCTCACAGACAAAACAGGCACCCCTCTGTTTTTACCTTTAATCTGCAGCTTATCACAGCAGAAACAGGACTGCCCAAACCAGAGGGTTGGGAGAGAAGCCAGCACAGCAGTAGCCAGACAGGAGCCTGGCCTGGTTAGTGTGGCATTAGTGCTGTGTTCCTCAGTGATGCAGAGGTAACATCTCACAACAACAACAACAACAACAAGGACGTCTCTTTCATCACTGCAGTGCACTGGCATTGTCTAATCCAGGGGTGCCCAACTCCATCCAGGTCTCTCTAGAAGGATTTTTTCACCCTAAGAGCTGTGAAAACCTGTCAAACTGCTCAATTTAAGATAATAATGTATTTGCTTGAGTAGTTAAGAGTGAAGCTGAACTGAAACCCAGCAAACAGCATGAGAACAGGAGTGAGATAGCCCAGCTCCTGTGGTTCGGTTATACTGTCCCATGCAGGGACCCTTTTGATCCATTCACTGCACCCATCTGCTTGATTAGCAAACAGCTAATCAATTAACAAGATGGTATTTGCCAGATGGTAGAGTCCATCTAAAAAACGGACAGGAATGATCTGTATTGGCCATATCTACCTACTGAAAGCAGGACCTTCTAACTCTCCATACACTGCATTGATAACAGATAGCTGTGTTAAATCAATCTGGAAGTCTGATCAGTCAATAAGAAACAATGGGTGTAAGAAAAGCTATGTTCAAAGACCTGCGCCTGTTCCTGTTTTAATGGGGTATGCCATGTCTTTGTAGGGTGAGTAACTCATCAGACTGGCTACCACAGCAACAGAGGGCTTGTTTTGGCTGAACAGGACCAGACTTCTCTTCCCCATCATTCTGCTCTGCTCAAGACCCCACAGAGAGGCGAGTGGCGCCCTGGTATCCCAGAGAGGAGGCTTGGAGGAGCCCCTGACAGCAGTGAGGAGCTCCTGCAGCCTGAGGCTCCTGTTTTTTGGAAGGCAGGACTAGGTGCGGCGCAGAGTAATAGGACACACCCTGCAAGCCATGCAGCGCTGCGCTATGCAACTGAAACGCACAGGGGAGACTCAACTCAACCAACTACATGCTACACCGCAGCACCACATTCTGCAGGAAACTCTGCTGACAGACGTAGCAGGACCCCTATACAGACGGCGCTTCTGACAATCTCACAGTGACAGCCGAAGAAATCGTAGCAAGCTGCTGTACAGTAACTTCCCTGTACAAAACATCCATTCCAATGTTATAAACCTTCAAATTAGAAGTAACTGCTTTCCAAGCAATATAAATACGATTTTTCATCCAGAGAAAAACAGTTGATGCCGCATCGGCCCTGTGACCCCAGCCCTTCAGCAGAACTCAATGGACAGCCTCCGGTGTTGGAGCAAGCAGAGAGTTCCTTTTACATCCCCTCCTTCAGAAAAGACGGCACACCACCCAACTCTACCATCGTACAGCAACCAAATATAATCTGAGAATTAAAAATCAAGACTACAGAGTTATGTATGAACAGGCTTCGCATTCAGCTGTCCATTCCTTTCTAATGTGATGCAAACCAAGGGGCATCTCAGCCTCTGTACAGATGACCCTCAGCAATAATCTGAAAGCCTTCTGCCTGAGCAAGCGTGCAGCAGCGCGGCGTCTCACCTGACTGGGCTGGGGCTTCAGTGGCGAGCTCTGTGTGGAGACAGTGGGGGAAATCCTTCCTGGACACTCTCTGTGTGAGCGCAGGTGCGGAGCACATGGGAGCTTTTATACAACCGGCCTGCTCCTCCCACTCCCAGCCTATCCTGAGCCGGAATCCGGGAGTCCTCCGCCCACCTTCCAAGGTGCGACAGGTGACGTCACCGACTGGAGGCCAGCCAGAGCGGAGGCAGGGAAGGGGGTAGCTGATTCACTGCGGGACGGGAAAACCGGGACCGACTAACCAGTTCATTCCTTGCGTTGATTTTGCACCTTTTTTCGAAGGATCCCAGGGTGCTCTGTGTCCAGAAGGGGGCAGCTCTGGGACTGAACGCTCGAGGAGCAGGAGAGAGGGCTGACTGGCAGCCCAGCACACAGCGGTGATCACAGACCTGCAGCAGGACACTACATCCAGCACGCGCAGAGCCCTGAGAGCATCGCGCAGAGCCTAGAGTAGAAACAGCCCAACAGGTAAACTGGGGACACTGTAAAAGTGCATTGATTCAGGGACATAACAGTCCCGGGGGGAAAGCATGTTCTGACAGCAGCGAAGAGGCATTGCGCAATCCCAATTCTGCAACGGCGGAGCGCCTGTGGCTGGAATGTTTTGGTTGGGCTGTTGCTGGGCAACACGCTCACGGAACAGGAGGGATCAGGACTGTGCACCGGGTCTGAGCGGCAGACACGAGGAAACATGCTGACTGGAGGAATGAGGAAAACGACACCAGCCAGCCTGGGCACCACCAGGAACCACCGGGATCAATCCTGCTCGTCCCAGAGCCCGGAGTGGCCCGAAGCCCACTCCTCTGTGCTGCTGGTCTCAGTACGAGCGAGCGATGCGGCGATGTGTTTACTTAAGACCACTGACGCAGCACGAAATGAAATGGGAACACAACACTTCACAATCATAATAATGTATAATTACACAGCAATCAGTGGGAAGCGGCAGCATGGCCTCATAATAATCTGCCTTCCCAAGGTGTTCAGTACGAGCCTAGCACAGGCAGAATCGCCTAACGAAACAAGGTGCTCAGCCTGGCTGTAAACCAAAACTTTTTTCTCTTTAACCTCTCTCTCATACAAATAAAAGAAAACACACAAACTTCCACAACATGACAATTTTCTCTTTTTTTTGCTAACTAAACAGTTCTATACACATATAATACCGGTGTGGCTCTTCACTGATTTCATTTTTGGCTCATCCCAGGCGCCCCGACCTGGTGAGAGGCCTAGAACTGTGCTCACCTCCTGGACGCCTGTGTGCAGCCTCACTGCTCCGTGGGGCCCCAGACACCCAGCAGGAAATAGTGTATATAGAGGAGTCAGCTCTGTGCTGTAACTGTAACCCCTGTACATCCTACTGTAAATCCTGATAGTGAGGGAGCGCTGGAAGAGACTTCAGTAAGAGAAACTCCCTGCTCCCTGAGCTCCTGCAGAGGACTGGAAAAGCGCAGTTTCAGCACCGGGACAGGGACACAGCACGGACAACAGCATGTGGAAGGAAGTCCAGCCCCAGCATCCACTTGCACTGATTGATAATGGACAGTCGCCAGTTCTTGATGTAGGTCTGTTAGAGTGCGTACTTATTGTAAGGCGTTTTATGTGAAAAAAATATCCCTTTATCCTATAATTTAAAGACGGTATATCTAGTAATAAGATGAATAGCAAGGCAAACCCAACTGTACAACTGGAACAATAACCTGACAGAAATCTCTCCACACGATATAAACTCTAGTCAATCATGTTGTGCATGAGAAACACCTTCAGACAGGATGTTTTAGACTCACTGCAGACATAATGAGGAATTCTCTTATCTCATTCTCAATCAAACTGGTGAAACATTAAATGAGTTCGCTGTAAAGGATTAGTGGTTTATGGGCGAGAGTGCCTCCTGTTTGGTCTATCATTCAGTCAGGCCTGAGAGGTGTATGGTGAGCTCTGTTTCAGGACTTAACTTAGACAGGCGGGGTTCTTTATTTTAAACTCAGCCCAATAACAACAATAACAATAATAATTGCTTACACCCATATAGCTCTTTCCTGGACACTCCACTCAAAGCGCTTTATAATAATAATAATAATAATTGCTTACACTTATATAGCGCTTTTCTAGACACTCCACTCAAAGCGCTTTACAAGTAATGGGGATCCCCTCCACCACCACCAGTGTGCAGCCATATGATGTGACAGCAGCCATAGTGCGCCAGAACACTCCCCACACATCAGCTATCAGTGGGGAAGAGAGCAGAGTAATGTAGCCAATTCATAGATCGTGATTATTAGGAGGCCATGATTGGTAAGGGCCAATGGGTAAGGGCTTTAGAAGTAATGGGGATCCCCTCCACCCCAACCAGTGTGTAGCCCCCACCTGGATGATGCTCCAGTCCGCTCCCCACACACCAGCTCTCAGTGGGGAGGAGAGGAGGGTGAGGAAGCCAGTTCAGAGATGGGGAGGCCATGATGGTTAAAGGCCAGGGGGTAAATTGGCCGGGACACAGGGGTAACACCTCTAGTCTTTTCGAGAAACACCCTGGGATTCTTAATGACCACAGAGAGTCACAGAGCTGCCAGGACACAGGCTGCCTCCTCTGCCTGCCCCCCCTGGACTGGGCGGTGACCTCACCTGCAAACCCAGCCCAGAGCTGTGGACTTCAGCACAGGCGCTGTCCCTGCCTTGGGGGCGTCCAGACGGGTCGGGGAGAAGCGTTTCAGTCCTGAAAAAAAAAACGGGGCTTTCTCCTAACGAACCCCAAACAGAGGGAATCTTCCGGGGGTCTGTTTGAAGAACACGCACAGGCCTCACACCCAGAAACCACTGTCCAGCACGCCTCTCAGGGATGGTCATCTAACACCCATAACAACACCAGAAGAGCTACAAACACCAGCAGCTCATTCAGGCTCGTTTGGCTGCTATTAATTGACCTGAGGATCTCCTCCAGCTGTTTAATGAAGGAATGGAGAAAGCCAGGATTTTGGCTTCTTATTGGCTGGCCAGCTTGAAGTCTATGTACAGGACACAATACTGAGCACAAAAGGAGCAGCCTCTGCTCACCCACATGGTTATCTTGGCTTATGCTTACTGTAGAGCTTAATGCCAAAATATGAATGTTATTAGAATAAATATGATCATTGTTTCAGTTCTTGCATGTGGTCTCTGTTTTGGCAAAGTTCTTTTGTGAACAAAGCCAGTCTGTGAGAAATATCTAGACATGAAAACCACAAATAACAAAAGTTTTTCCATTTTTTATCCCTCAAAGTCGCCGCCCATGCATTCCGGGCAGGGAGGAGCCCCAGACGGTGCTTCAGGATTGGGGAGGCGAGGGAGAGGGATTCCCGGATCAGCCAGCTTCCACAGCCTCGGCTCTTCCCAGAAACGGCCACGCTGGACTGGAGATCCGGGCGCTGGAATCCGGGATCTTCCGCTGTGAGTCAGGCCGCACTGAACCGGACCAGAGGGGCTGGAGGCATGCATAAGACCAAAGATATCTCCAATAAAAGGGATACAATTTACAGGATGATTCATTTTCCTATTGGGAAGGGCGAATGACTTGCTCCTTTGTGAGGATGCAGCTTCCCGAATTTTCCTGACACATGTTGTTACTTGAGCCACTGTTTCCTTTAGACTCAGAGACACAATCGAAGGCAGCAAACAATAAATCACGAACTTGAGCCCCCCGTTAAATGACATCACTGTGTCAAACAGCACGCAGAGCCTCTTAATCCCCCCAAAACCCCCACACTCCTCCTCCAGCCCGTCTCTCACATTTCAGACCGGGAGGCCAGGCGTGAGGCGAGGCTGTTCAGCCTTTAATGGAGAGAATCAAACACAAATAGGGGTGGGACAGCTGCAGGGTAAGTTACAAAAACACCTCTGTAAAAAATGAGGACATCCAAAACAAAACGTCCATCCATTTTCAATAACCTCCCAGTCCAATAAGACAGGGCTGCCTCAGCTGGGCAGCACGAAGGAGGGTGCATCTCAGAACACACTGAGGGGTTGGAGTCACCTCCGTTTTGTGCACAGCAATGTGTGTCAACGAGCCTCACAACACTAAAAGAGAAGAAAAAATGTCAGCCCTCCCCAAAAGAAACAAAAAGTAAAACCTTGCGCTTGAGGTGCTGATGAAGAAACAGGCCCGCACAGGAAGGGCAGACGCCTGAGCACACCTGAGAGAGCCTGCAGCTCTGACAGGCGATAATTACAAATATGCAGAAAATCCCTTGCTATGACTTGGGAGTGTGCTGGCCCTGTCCGTCAGGCAGGGAGTTAGCACTGAGAGGCAGCGAAGACGTGCTCCTGGCCTGGAGAGGGACTTCGGATTCAAACGGGTGCTTTCTGGTTTTAAAAGTGGGGAGACCAGTTAGAAAGATAGGGAAAATTTTAGAACAGCTGTGAGATTGTGAGTCCGACAGTCAGGAAATAAACACGTTCACTGAGCGAGACACGAGCAGCAGGATTCCTCACACTGGGGAGTTTTTATCAATTCATAACAAGGCAAACCCATCCGTACCAAAGGAAGTACAACCTGACTAGCAATACACAGAAAACACGCTACACAACCTCAATCCCAGGCAAACACTGTCTACTTGAACAATACCCACTGATGCCTTCAGACAGACATTTTACAGAGCCTCAGTGCAGACTAAACAAAATGAGGAATTATTTTAGCTCATGCTCAAACTACTCAAGCATTACATGACTTCACAATACAGGAGTATAGGGTCATGGACAAGTGCAATCTGTGGATTATGTGCAAAAGTGAAGTAGAGGGGTTTATTTAGGAGTGATTGCGAGGGGAGCACATTTACAGGTCCTGGTGTAGCTGAGAGGATTCCTGTTAGGAGTGGGGTGTAATGACTCAATGGGTTGTTATCTTTTATCTGTGTTACATTTGTACACAGATTTGTTACATATGTTTTGGTATTTCTCTGTGTGTAAATAACAGGTGCTTGGGGGCAAAATAGATTTCTGAGAAATCAGACAACAAAGTATAATCGTATCCTGAAGTGGCTCTGGACAACCCAAGCCAGAGCAATGGAAAGAGTCCCTCAGCGCAATGCACGGATAATGTCCTCGGATAAAGCAATCTATAATCATCCAGGTGGGGCTGCACGCTGGTGGTGGTGGAGGGGATCCCCATTACCTGTAAAGCGCTTTGAGTGGAGCGTCCAGAAAAGCGCTATATAAGTGTAAGCAATTGTTATTATGATGATGATGATGATGATGATGATGATGTCCGGGTCAAGGTGCGCGTGTCCGCAGGTAGCACAGCCGCCGTGAGCGCGGCCCCGGTCGCCTGCCCGAGGGAGACGAGCCTCAGAGCCGCGCGACCCCCCCTCGGCCAGGACGGCGGAGCGTGTGCCGGTACTGGAGGAGTCAGCGCAATACTGGAAGGAGACAGCGGGCTGTTGCACGTCACGTCACGGGCAGCAGAGAGAAGCGATAAGCAGGAAGGGTCGGGCTATTATTACCTATTATTAGGCTATTATTATGGGAGGGGACTGACGTCTGGAGACTGCTCTGTGAAACCTCCGGTCTCGGCTGCTCCGACTTTCCCTGGCCGGTTCTCGATGAGTCGTCAAGCCTCTCCGACCTCTCACAAACCGATCCCAGAGGCAACACCAAGCACGAAAAGGAGCACGTACAAGCCTGCCGTCGCCCGCTCGCTCGCTCTGCCACCCCTGACTAGAGCGCAGCGGCGCTCGCTCAGCTACTGACTGATGAAGAGGCGCAGCAGCAAGAGCTCAGGAGATCAGATTCCCGAGGCTCCTCTGTGGAGGTGGTGCCCCAGCGTCCTGCAGCGGGTCTTTAAAGAAGGACAGCGCTCAATGAACCCTCTGCAGGAACTCGAAATCGTCTCCGCGGAGCCACCTGGTGGCCGGGGGAACAGTTACACGCTGTGCCCGTTGCCCTGGAGCGGAACTTCACAGGACCGACCTGGGCCGCAGTGTTTCTAGGGACCAGAGAGAGAGGCATTTAATGCACCAAGAAAGATGTTGTGGCGCGCTCCTTGGCCACTGACATAACCGCTTTTAAAAACTGCTGGCGCCGGTTTGCGCGTATCAGGAACTGTCTCTTTGAGTCAGGATAATCGCTTCATGACAACTCGACAGAAAAGAACAGTCGTCGAGCTGCCGCGTAAGCTCCTGTTGTGAGCTCACTGTTATCAGCGTTACACCTCTGATGCCAACAAGGGCCGAGTACATGAATAAAAATCCGAAATATCTGTTTTCAGAGAGGGACACAAAGACCGACTCGACACCACCTCTACCAGAACAGAGCGACACCTCCTGCGCCCGCGCGCAGCGGGCACGCGAGCGGGGCAGGGTCACGTGACAAGGGTCGGACTGGTCCATCCGAGCGCTGCGGGGGCCATCCTGAATATTTCTGTGATAAATAAAGGCTTACTTGACACGAAAGTCTTAAATGTTCATTCTTTGTACATTTTTAAATTAAATATAGTACTGATATTAAGATCATATTTTATATGGACAAGATGAAATAAAATGTGTACCCCACGCTGCCTGTGCACATGGTATCATTTGGATCGTGTCCAGCAGGGAGCGCTGGGAGAGCTGGATTGTTTGTGTTGATGTTTTTTCACTCTTTAAAAAAAAAAACAAACCCCGCCGTTAGGGCCTTCCTACCGTAGCTGTTGTCTGTTTGGAAACACTCTATTAAAAGCAAAAGGATTACTGTTTTTTCTTGTTTGTAAATATTTTATCTGCCCTGGAGTGACGGAAGGTTTTGGAAAATGTCTTCGCCACCGCGAGAGAAACCTCCGACCAAAGGCGGACACCCACCTGCAGGTTTCCTGCTGCTCCTTACTGTTGTAGAGAGGGGAGAGAGGGATGGGGTGGAGGGAGGAGGGGGTAGAAGATGGAGGGAGAGAGGGGTGGAGGGAGAGGAACAGCAAAAAGAAACAGAGCCTGACGAAGTACAGGCTCAGTGACCACAGCCTGGCCATAGAAACTGGGCGACACAGGCAGACCTGGCTGCCCAGAGAGGACAGGCTGTGCTCCCACTGCCAGCGGGGAGAAATAGAGACAGAGGTGCACTTCCTACTGCACTGTGACAGATACTCTGGGATTAGAGAAACATTCCTCCCGAAATTAACACATCTTATCCCAGAATTCCCACGCCTTCCAGAATCACAACGGGTCCCAATCCTACTGGGAGAGAGGAGGGAACTCCGTTGAACTGGCAGCCCAGTATGTGATCTCTTGTCACAGCCTGAGGAACAGTGAGCCTGTCTCTCAGTAATGCTCTATGTGCTGTATGCAATTGTACTATGATGTTTATATTATAAGTGCATGCAGATATTGTATTGTATTATATTGTATTGTATGATCCAGTACAACACAACACTTAACACTGTGGCAACACTAACTTACCGGGCATGCCAATGAAGCTGTTTGAATTGGAATTTGAGAGAGTTGGGAGAGAGGAGAGAGGGATCGAGATGAGAATTTGAAATGGCAGGTGAGGCGTGTACATTATAGACAGAGTGACAGCTTTTTATGATCTATTTCACAGGGCCACTTGGTCCGATTGGTATTAAGGTCTCACTGTCTTATTAGTTCAGTAATGTGGTTCTTAAGATGTTATTATTCTTAGTACCTGTACAAAGAGTAAGTACAGGTAATAAGTAAGTAGTCGTCTCCTTTTGATAAAATAAAGTAATCTGATTATGATGTATAAATTAATTATTTGGGGAAATTAGTGTGGAGATGCTACCCACGAGGCTGGTGGGTGACTTAAATAAATTTTGAGCGATCTGAAGACAGAGTCTGGAAATGAGACAGTATTGAATACGTGAGGCCATCTGTTGCATTCAGCATTGTGTTAAAATTAAAGATATTAATGGTCACATCTCTTTAGCAGGACTGACAAACTGTTGATATAAAACAATAACAAGGGAAATGTACGGTTTGATTAAATCTGTAGTGTATATAGGTCCAACATATATAGACTACAAAGGAACAAGTAACAGGTTCCCTGCTAAAAAGAGAAGAAAGAAAACACAACGTTTCGGCCGTGTAGCCTTCTTCAGGTGTATAGACTGTATTTTATTTTGCTACCCATTATTTATTTAAGTGGCCTAAAAAGTAGTAAATCAATTTAAATAACTGTCTTTATAGAGCAGAACTTTGTGGGGATTTCAGAATTTCAGTGGGAGCCTTTGATCAGTGAGGCTCCGTCTCCTAGCAACAGCGCTTTGCGGTCTGCCAGAGACCATTGTGGTGACGCTGATGTGTTGGACTGCGGGCACACAAGGGAAGCTTTTTGGAGTGTGACGTGCTGGTAATAAGGAATAAACAAAACAAGCAGAACTGAAAATCGTTGATTTCAAAGTGCTACGTAAGAGAACAGGAAAAAAAAAAGTGACAATAAAAAGGCAGTCATTCTTGCGTGCAGAATACACTTTTAAAATGGAAACGAGTCCCTTCTGCACCTGTTTACATACGTGTGCTGAGGCCTCCTGGGGTTGGGTGATGTCAGCTGGGCCCGCATTCATGCTTTTGACTGAAGAGCCGCTGTTGGGGTCCTGTCTGTTTCAGAGCTGTTCAAAGAAGGAAAACAAACTTGCACACCTGCCGCTAGAACAGAATGAATGAATTATTCGGGCATGCTTCACGTTCGGAGCCTTTGTCCATAAAGAGAGTTTCCCTTTCAGTCAGACGGTGTGACCTGAGATCAGGAATCTGAATTGTGTCACACACTTGGGGGTTAGTGGTGTTAGTGTCCGGGACTCTGGACAGGTACTAGGTGGTTGAGGGTTTAGCCCCCAGCTAAACTATACAAGCTGAAATGTCACGATAGTTCACAAGCTTAGTATAGATACTAATATATATAGTAAAGGAACAAGTAAAAGGTTTATTCCATGCTGAAAAAAAGAAGAAAGAGAACACAACGTTTCGGCCGTGGAGAAACGGCCGAAACGTTGTGTTCTCTTTCTTCTTTTTTTCAGCATGGAATAAACCTATTACTTGTTCCTTTGCAGCCTACGCATGCTGACGCAGCAACCCACCTGAACTAATATATATAGAGCTCTGTGATGGGCTGGCGTCCTGTCCAGGATGTATCCGGCCTGGCACTTGTTGCTCACCAGGATAGGCTCCCCGCAGGAACTCTTGAATTGGATGAAGCGGTTGGGAAATGGATGGATATATAAAGCAATACACTCTTAAAAACTGACGCTCAACCACTTGCTGAAGGATCCTTTGAGAGCAAAGCCTGTTCCGCTGAGCGAGGGCCTGCCGGGTTGGAGACCTGGGGCTGCTGTCCTGTTTAACACCCCTCTGCCTTCTCTCTTGCTCTCCGGGCTCCAGTGAAGGCCGGGGGGATGCGCATCGTCCAGAAGCACCACGCAGCAGGAGACCACCAGGGCCAGGACAGGGACAAGGACAGTAAGGACTGGGAGACCGGCGCCAGGTGAGAGCAGGCTGGAGCTCTGGGCTTCCTCCGGAGGCCTGGGGTCACGGCTGGGACCGCCACAGGGACGGGGTGCCACACCTGCCCCGTCACACTGTTCGTTCTTCTGACTTGATCACTAATAATAATAATTGCTTACGCTTATCTAGCGCTTTCCTGGACACTCCACTCAAAGAGCTTTCCAGGTCATGGGGACTCCCCTCCACCATCACCAGTTGTGCAGCCCCACTTGGATGATGCTCCAGTACACTCCCCACACACCAGCTCTCAGTGGGGAGAACAGAGTGATGAAGCCAGTTCAGAGATGGGGATTGTTAGGAGGCCATGATGGGAAAGGCCATGGGGAAATCTGGCCAGAACACAGGGGTAACAACCCTACTCTTTTCGAGAAACGCCCTGGGATTCTTTATGACCACAGAGAGTCAGGACCTCGGTTTTACGTCTCATCTAAAGGACGGCGCCTGTTTACAGTATAGTGTCCCTGTCACTATACTGGGGCATTAGGACCCACATGGACCGCAGGGCGAGCGCCTCCTGTTGGCCCCACTAACACCTCTTCCAGCAGCAGCCTTAATTTTCCCCATCCAGGTACTGACCAGGCTCACGCCTGCTGAGCTCCAGTGGGCTGCCAGCTGGGAGCTGCAGGGTGACATGGCTGCTGGCTATATGGAAGTTGACTTCCAGTAAACTCTTTTCATCCTCTCACTTGCTGTCCACCTTCAAGCTTTCCTCCCTGTAAGGTCGCCTTGACATGCAGCCACAGTGGCAAACGAGAGGCCAGCCATCCCCAGGGTGAGAGTTGTTTTCTCTCAAGGGACAGAGAACTGGGAGGGGCTCCTGACTGGGTGCTGACAGTGAAACCCAATGCATTCATCTGCGCTGGTTTGTGCTGTTGAAAGTAGCATCTGAAGGGCTACTATATTCCTGAAATATAGCGCCTTTCTTTTTTCAGTGTGACGTTGCTCAGCCCCCCCTACAACGGCGACAAGGGTCACGTGACTCCCTGAAAAAAGCAGGCGCTGTCTCGGGAATGAAAGCATCTCAGATCCTACTTTCAACTGCACAAACCAGCACAGCCTGAGCGCTAATGAAAGAGGATGAGAGACTTCACGCCCCCCAAAAAATATAAGGCGCTATATCTCAGCATAAAAGCAGCACCAACACTGCTTTCAAAGGCACAAGCAGCGCTGACGAATGCGGTGGGTTTCATTGTGATGTTTGCAGGGGTGTCAGCTTTCACGGAGCTTGATCTGTCGGCTGTGGTAGAGCCTGTGAGCAGACTTGCGATTTTCAGTCGTACGTGTGTGTGAGCAGACGGCTCAGTGGCAGCGTCCTGTGGGTTAGAAGTGTGTCAGAGAGCATGCTGTGCTCTTGGTTCCTTGCCGCATGTGTGCACACACACACAAGGTGTCAGGTTCACAGTAAACCGTGGAACTGACCTGCTCGGATCTGGAGTTGAAATACACAGCCCAGGGCTCCTTCTGGTCTGAGCCAGCTCCTGAAATCTAGACACAGGAAGAGATGATTTCTTTTTTCTTTTGTGCATTGTGTGTGCGTGCACGCCTAGGGTGTAGCCTTTTCAGTACTAGAATCTTTGTACTTTTTAATCTTTTCTTACCTTATCTAAGGATGCGATCAAAGCTGCTAAGAAAAAAAGAGGTAATTGGTACCACAGGTTACCATTTTAGGGAGCATGCAGCAGACAGGATGCTGCTCTTTCGCGGTGTGCAGAGAACAGGTGGTGTCAAAATGGAAGGTGAACAGGAAGGGGTCATCCCTGGGTCAATCAAAAAAATAAGAGCAATATCCACAACTGTTTTCCTGCAGCGAAGTCAAGATAACCTTCGTGATTACTGAAATTAAAAAAAAAAGCATTGCTGTACTTGGCACCTACAGAATGATTTTTAAATGAAGACAGTTAAAGACAAAACATCCCTTTCCACTGGACATCTGCTGTGGCCTGCTTCTTGACAAAGCCCAGCTGAAGGTCAGAAAGGAGCTCAGAGCCAGACAGATGTCTCTCTGTGGCGGGGTAGCTGCTCGAAATCCATCACCGGGGACAGGAGAGTTTCTCTGTGCCTGACGATCATAAGAATCATTTGAAACTGTGCTTTTGGAAACTCTCTAAAAACCGACACAAACCCGAATCCTTAATAATGAAGTTTAAATATTTTGTTGTTGAATGGCTGTAAATTCCTATGCTGCATTTCCTATGTGTAATTATTAATCACTGTTGTAATAGAGCTGTTATGTAACTCCCTGCCTGTGAGTGAGCCTCAGGGAACCCAGGGGGCGTTGCTCCTGTGCTTGTCACCACTAATGCGCTCTCTCTGTCTCTCTGTCTCTCGCAGCCCCCCCAAGCCAACGTTATTCATCTCTGGAGCAATAGCCCGGGTAAGAGCTGCTTGTCACATCGCCTCAGCTGGAGTATTAAGAGCTCCGGCAGGTTTGTGGGTGTCTACCCTGCCCCATGTCGCATGGGCGGCTGCTTGCGAGGGGAGAGAGTGTTGTGAAATCTGAACGGGACACCGATTATAAAGTGTTTTGCTGTCTGCAGGCCCTCTGAAGCCCCCTACCCCTCTGATCTCCCACACAGGGCGATAAGGACTTCCCCCCTGCTGCTGCCCAGGTGGCCCACCAGAAACCCCAGGCCTGCCTGGAGAAGCTGCCCCCCCCTCACCACCTCAACCAGCACATCCACCAGCCCCGCAAGTGAGCTGGCCCGGCGCCCGCGCTGCCTTGTCCCCACACCAGGGGGCGCCGCCGTGGCCCGGAGGATCTCCTACACTACAGTGGATGGAGGACGGTCCTCAGGAGCTGCGGTTCCCCAGGAACATCTCTGTCTGTCTGTCTCTGTTCTCTAAAGAAGTTCCGCTCGACGCCTTGTGTACAGCGCTAAGGGGTGGAGGGGTGTGTGCATGGTGGGTGTCAGGTAAGCTGCTATCTTTGTGAGGTCTCTCGGTGGCAACAGGGCAGGGGGGGGACACTGTTTGACGGCAGAGGTGTCTCTGTGCTCTGACTGTACAGGGCGATGCCCATTTCACCCCAGGGAATACCTGCTTCCTGCGCCATGCATCATCAGCAGACATTCCTGTCCCATCTCGAATCCCCAGTGAGCGCGCCGTCTGCCAGGGCTACCCAGCCCAGTACCAGACCGCTGGGAGGAGTGAACTGAACCAGACAGATCAAGAAGTGATGTGCAAGCCCTGCAAAATGATTTCCCCCAATCCAAATACCAGTCAGAGAGCTGTGTCATGCAATCTGGAGCAACACAGCCAACATATACAGTACCAAGAGCTATTCCAAGTTGGCAGGAGTAACAAAGCATTGTTTTTAAGGCACTGACAAAGACATGATTGCCTTCCCAGCTTTCGTAGCCAATATACAACTCCAGATTATCTAGGATAATTTTAAACTAAAATGAGCTTAGCTCTTAGGAAAATGAGAGCCGAAGGAAAAAAATAAAACTCAGGACAGACATTTTGTGTTTCTCAGAAAGCTGCAGTGTTTTGCGGGCAGCTCTGTGGGTTTTAAAACCCATTTTCTGCACGATGCCTTCAAGAGCCTTTCCGAAGGGATTTCATTTGTTTCGGAGACGGCTATGAAGTTACATTGTATTTTAAAATATTACTTTTATCTAGTATTTCTTGTACAAATCAGGAGATTGGGAAATTCAGGAAAGTATAAGGCCCTTTACCGGTGATATTGACTGCTGTTGTTATTGAAAGATGTCTGATATTAGTGGTGTTAGTAATGTTAATAGCTGTATTTCAGACAGGAGGCAAGGAATCCACATTCGTTCCGCTTGAACCACAGGACACAGCAGGGTTTCTGTTCAACAGGTAGAGCTGTTCAGTCCTTTTATATCCCTGTCAGGGAAATTGAAACACAAACGTCTGTACAGCCAAAGAAGTAAGTGTTTAGAGTATGACGTGATTCTTCATTACAGATTTTGGCCTTTAACTTAGTTGGTCTTGGTATCTTTTCAGAAGAGATCAAAGCATCAACATTCTTTTCCTTTTTCCTGACTTGAATGTCCGATTGATTTTGCTTTATTGATCCAAGGATTGAGCTCAGATTATGTAGCCACATGCTCCTGTTCCTGAATGACACTGAAGTTTTTTAGATCTTTTTTAATATTTTCTGACCAAAAGGAAAGCAGTATTTGCACTTTGGGTGAGTGTATATTTAATCATTCTTTTAACCTGAGAGAATGGTCCAAGCCATGACTTATCTGCTTCAGAATAAAAATGAATAACTTAATTGCTTTTGAAACACAAAGGGGAATCACGTTGTCAAAGGGCATAACTATAACAAGCACTATTAACCCAAGGAAAAAGAGTCTCTTCGGTACTCCCGGAGCTGTCTGTGTCTCACCTGCGAATTGAGTGATTGAATAAAAAGATTGTTTCCACCCATCTGAAACACACACTGCATGGGTTTGTCCTCATGTGGACAGGGAGCATAAGGGGTTTTCTAACAGAAGAAACTTGCAAAAGCCACACTTGTTCTCAGATGTTCTTGCAACGTTTTGGCAACACAGGATCTGGGGGTTTAGTGATCAGGGTTCGGGGTTTGTAACTGCAAGACGGGGGGTTCAAATCACAGGTGAGATACAGAAAGGATTCCAGAAAAGTGCTCAGCTGCAAAATTGGTGCATGTGTCAGTCGCCTTGGATAAAACATCAGCCAAAGCAATTAGCAGCAGTAGTAAATGGTTATCATGGGACAGCAACGTGTTCCTGGGCTTCAGTCCCAGCAAGACTGAGTGCTGCTGTTGTTTCACTGTAAAATACCCTGCTGCTGACGTGGGTGTTCTCCAGGTTGGCAGTGTGACTGACTCATTTGATTAAATAATAATTTCTATAGAAAAAAAGAGAGATGTGTTTTATCCTTGGCAGCTTGACAGATCTCTGAATCCCCTGAGTGTGATCCACTCGGTCCTAGCTGGAGGCCCAGTCCCGGTTCTGAAAGAACAGGAGCTTTGCCCTCTTGAGAGTTATTGTTAATAGAGTTATTCATCGTTTTGTTGTTGTTGTTGTTGATGGGGTACTTTGTGTTATTAAAAATCTTGTTAAAATAACTTACCTTCTCGACTGCTCTGTGGTTCTTGTCTTCTCATGTCTGCGAATCTCTTCTGTTCTCAGACACAGTTTCCATGCACTATGTTTTGAAAAGATCGTTTCCACCCCTCTGAAACACACAAGGTAAAAACAAAACTCCCTCCACCGCAAAAACAAAAAACCCCAAACCCGAGCATAGTAACCTGTTCGAGAGTCACATGTTCCCCTGTGAAGTTCAGCAGCCAGACAGTGTGCACCCACAGTTCGTTCCCACGAGCCCTTGCACACAGACTTCCATGGCCTCACGAACCTTTTGATTAAGTTCCATGAAATTCTCCACTGGACATTAAAGAAAACTGAGGTATAACATTGCTACTAGAAATGTATTTTTCATACCTCAGTTGATAACACTCCCTACAGCAATCACAAATGTTTATATCGTATGTCAGCATGAGCTTGTTAAACTCATCATCTAATTTATGGCCACACGTCACTGAGAAAATCATCTGCTTTAAGAAAGAGGGGAAAAAAATGTAATTCAATACATTCTTCCTGGTAGACTTAAGAGGGAACTGTTAAGATTTTGAACATTCATGTGTTTGAGATTTTTGTAAATCATTTATTAGAATAAAATAGAAAATATCCAACAGCTTACAATCATAAAGCAACACTGAACATTAGTTTATGCTTATTTTAGTACTTGTGTTGGCTGAAATACTGAATACTGCATAACATTTAAGGACTTACGTTTATGGACATTGTGCTCTTGTATTTGTTACAACATTGTGCAATGATTAAAATCGATTACAATTTGAAATATATATATATACCTGAGCAAGGGAGGCAGAATTACAATATAAAAATTAATTACGACTTTTGTCCAGTAGGTGGCAGCCTCTGATCTGTCTAGTAGAGTCGCATGCTAAATCCAAAACTCTGCCAGTAACTGAACCCGAGGCTGCAATATCATTCAACTTCAGCTGCCTATTCTGTTAAAATGTTTATTCCTGTGTAGCTATTTTATCAGATACTGGCATGCAATTCATTCCATTTACAATCTGAAAGAACTAGTATTTTTTAATATTTGGAACCTTTTTTAAAATCTGTAAAAAAATAATACAATCTCTCTTCGGACAAAATCCAATCCTCTTATAGACCACTGAAACACTGGAACTCAACATCTTTTGATGCATTTAGGAGCTCAACTTCATTTTGACAAAAACAGACACAAGTAAAGACGACAAAGATGTCCTTAAATCTACACGCCACACGAACGCCTGAAGGATTTCAAGCGAGGCCATTCTATTCCATTTAGCTGATTAGAGTCACGAAGTCAGTCGCTCCCTGAACTTGAAGAGAACCATCGTTGTGCTTGACGTCTGCTTCACAGAAAAACGTGTTCCTCATTAGGCACTGGATAGGGCTGGAACATAAGCCCTAATGACGAAAGGAGAGTAAAAATGGACAATACCCGTCTTCAAAACTCCCCCCACAGTTTTTTCAACCTCCTCCCCCCCCCGCTGAAAGATATACGAACCCTGGGTTCAGCTGGGGGTAATTGCAGGGGGATTCACTTTGCAGAAAAAGAGCTCGTGTCCTGTCCCAGTATGTCTGACGGTGAAATGTGTGTAGGAAGCAGGCTGTACCGGGAAGAGGATCCTGTGCATGTGGTGGTCTGCGCCCCAGTGCCCTGCCCCGACAGCGGAGCGCTCCGTTGGGACAGCGTCGCTCATGGAGCAGCACCGACGCGCCCCTGCAGCTGCCGAACAGAGAGCTAAACCCTCCCGAAGACTCGGAGTCCGGTCGGGCCCTGGCGGCCCCCCGGCTAGGGGGAGTAGGTGGTGGTGGTCTCGGTGTCCATGGCGATGGAGCCCCTCTTCTGCTTGCAGGTGGTGTAGCGGAAGAAGCGCTCGTGGCTCACGCAGCCCAGCTCCTTCAGCAGCTTGAGCAGGTCGTTGCGGAACTTGACCCCGATGAAGGCGTACAGGAAGGGGTTGAGGCAGCAGCGCATGAAGGCCAGGCTCTGCGTGACGTCGATGGCGAAGACGATGCGCTTCTCGAAGGGGCAGTCGGAGTTGCCCATGGTGACGGTGCGCAGGAGCGTGGCCACGTTGTAGGGCAGCTGGAAGGCCAGGAAGACCAGCACCACGGCGAAGATCACCTTGATGGCCTTGTTCTTCTCGAAGTTGCGCGCCTGCAGCAGGGTGCGGATGATCATGAAGTAGCAGAAGAACATGACCAGCAGGGGCAGCAGGAAGCCGCCCACCATCTGCCCCACCTGGATGCCGATCCGGAGCCGCAGGGAGTCGTTGGCGAAGGGCGTGCACATCTTGAGGTCGGTCACGCGGGCGTAGACCATCTCGGGCACGGAGAAGAGCAGCGCCAGGGCCCACAGCACCACGGAGGAGACCTTGCTGAAGTGGACGGCCTGCGAGCGGTGCCGGTGGGCGGAGGCCGCCCGCGCGATGGCGAAGTAGCGGTCGATGCTGATGCACATGAGCAGGAGCATGCCGCTGAAGAAGCTGACCTTGTAGATGCCGTAGATGGCCTTGCATGTGCCCAGCCCGAAGGCCCAGTCCCTGGCGTAGCTCATGGCCCAGAAGGGCAGCGTCAGCAGGAACAGGGTGTCGGCGGCGGCCAGGTTGAGCAGGTAGACGTCCGTCATGGTCTTCAGCCTCTTGAAGTAGATGTAGGTGAGCATTACCAGCAGGTTCCCCACCAGCCCCACGAAGCAGATGGTGGAGTAGATGGTCGGGAAGAACCAGGTGCGGAAGGCCCTCACATCGTCCATGGGGCACTGCTGCTGGAACTGGCTGTAGTCCGGCGTGATGCTGCTGTCGTCGTAACTGTAGTCGGTCGACATGGTCTCATTCTCCTCCGAAGCACGGGCCTGCGACAGGAGCGGATTTTCATTTTAGAAGCTCCCGTTTGCCAGTTTGGTGTCTTTCTGCACCCCACCTGAGAGACGTTTAGCCCACCGCAGTATGGGGGTCCACTGGTGCGAGTGGCAGGACCAGGCCACCAGGGGGAGCCCTCCGCAAGGAGCGCGCAGCCACACGCACTGCAGCTGAGGTGTGGATCAGCTATTGACAGACTGTCCGTCACACAAATTTGAATGCGATATCTCTGGAATACGGGGTTCAGTTCAATGGGCAGGTTTTTTGCTTAACAAGTAAAGTGAGCACTGGTTAAGGCACCCAGGCTCCAGTGTGGAGAGTTCTGTTCTCATAACTGGAAGGTTGTGGGTTCGAATCCCAGGTGAGACACTGCTGTTACACCCTTGAGCAAGTTACTTACCCTGAACGGTTCCAGTGAAATACCCAGCTGTATAAATAAGTCACCTTGGATAAAAGTGTCATGCAAGTAAATTGATTATGTGAGAAAGCACATTAAAATAGTTTTTTTTTTCCCTCAGACGTTACTGTTTGCATTTTTTTAATCTAGTTTCTCTCCAAAGGAAATCTATCCAATGGCTTTCTCCAATTTCAAGCAAAGTGTGAAGCCTGTGTCTTTGCACTAGCCTCTCGCCTGGGTGGCTCTCTGTGTGCTGCCTGGTAGGTGGCCACTGAAAACAGAAATCCTAACGTTCTTATTCTGGAGGGTCTTGCGGCCTTTATGTCCCCCAGAAGGAGGTTTCCTGGTTGCCACCCCGCCACCTGCAGCCTCCTGAAACCCCTCCCCCAGCCCCCCTCTGCACCTGCCCCACGTGGTGAGTTCTGCACTGAACATCTCACTCACACATCAAAGAGTTTCAAACAAAACCCGGAAAGGAAAGTGTGCAGGTTTACAAGAAACGGATGAAAGCCCCTTCTGTTGTTCTGCTATCGGTTTGAGCAGAACTCAATTCCCCAGATAAACAGCATCTCCTTAAATAATTCATCTTCACCACTTCCTGAGTACTCTGGCTGTCTTTTGTAGCTCTTCAATTTGAAAAGAAAAATAGTGCAGAGATGCAGCCAGCTGGCAAGACCTATGACATACTGACAAGAATCGCCACAGACCTGGACATAAACACCACAATGGTGAGCTTGGTGAAAATACCTTCAGCCAAGACACTTCACTTTCAAAAAATCTTCTTTCGCTCCAGTGCCCTTTCTGCTACCAGACGAAGAGACTGACAGATAGTTCACAGCTTTCAGACCACTTCTCCTGTCACGCGCTCCTGACTTGATTTGTCTAAAAATTCTCGGCAGCATCGAGAGGTTCAACGCGCTTGGTTTAACACCTCTTGAACATGCAGAAAAACAATCGAAATTAATTTCTCTCTCTTCTCATGCAAGGAAAAGGATGTAGACTCGACTGCACTGGCATCAAAACAAAGCCATGAGCTAGAACAATTTTGGAAGACGCATATCCATGAAGTTGTCTGTCAAAATGGAGCAAAAAGCGGAGGTTTTGCTGGTGTTCTGGGGACTTGTTATGAATTTCATGCCAAACAGGCTGACTGTAGGACTGTGACCAGATTAATGTGGGGTTTGTGTGTCCCAACTGGTTGGGCCTCACTGGTGATGCTGGAGAACGCCAATCTGCTGGGCTTCCAGAGACGAAGCTCCGCTCAGTGTGGGCCCTCATCTCCTCCTGTTAGTTACTTCTCCAACCTCCACCCCTCCCCACTCTCTGTGAATCAGAGTCTTACCTTTATGAAGAACCAGAACAGCAGAGTTTTGCTCAGCAGATGGACTCCTGAGGGAGACATAATATTCATGTTGATCAATATTCACTGATTCATTGATTAAGCTTATTTAGCAATGTTTCATGATGCCCATTGCCAATATTATGTTATAATGGATGATATTGAGCTCTTTCTTATATTGGAAGATACTAAAGAGATTCTTTTCCTCAGTGATTATACCAATGTGCTTTTCCTTGAAGGTGGTGAGAGAAGACTTCATTTACACAGGGTTAAGAGTGAACACAGGCCAGAGAGCAAAACAGTGAAGAGAGACTGAGCACTGGAGGCCCTCCTGTACACAAACAGTGGTGGGAGAGTGGGACAAGAAGTCAAACACGTTCGCCAGGTCTTTTCTAGTGCTGTTGGTTCAAAGGAGCGTGACGTCGGAATTGGTGCCAGTTCGCCTCCAAGAGACCACGAAACCCCGGATCAGTCACTGACATGGAAACATCAGTTCAGGCTGGTAACGTCTCTGAGCGCCACACGGCCACAGCCGGGGAGTGGAAGAGCCGAGTGGAAGGACAGTACAGCAGCGCTCGGGGTTCGGACCGGGACACGAACTGGCCTGGAAACTGAACTATACTAACGCGAAAATAAAGCGCAAAATCTTGATTAAATAAACTGCCGATTCATTTACTCATTTACAATCTCTTTTGCTGATTGAGCCTTTTTTAGCTTTGTTTTCTCCTCGCCTGCAATACACTACGCACTCAAGAAAGCTATTAAGGTTTTATCCTTTTATTATCAAACAAATCTCTGCAAAAACAAAGTATTTTAAAACACGCCTAGATCATTTTAAATTTCCACTCATATAAGCCGCGAAATCAGTTTAGTGAAGGGCTCCATTCACACATCCGTTTCTTTCCCGTCGCGTCACGCAGGTGCCCGGGGGAGGATGCCAGGTGGCGGCTCTGGGACACTGCGTGGTCGGCTGAGTCTCGCTACGTCCTCCCGGCCTGAAGCTGCTGTTCGCTGCTCTCAACCTAAAACATTGTTTCCAGGTAGGAGGTAGGAAAGAAGTGGTTTTAAAGGGGCCCGACACTCGCACTAACCGCCCCTCAGGCTGATCGCCGCTGAGGGCTACTGCTGGAGACGGGGACTAATGCAGAAAAAAAGAGACCTCCGTTGACTTTTGATCTTTGTCAGATGCATCGTGTCCGGACGGATGCTCCTTCACCGATGAGCAATCGAGTGAAAGCCTAATGAAACCGCGTTGCGGTCTGATTTCTGCGAATCGGGAGCTGGCTGCCGGAGTAGCGGTCTCCACACCGGCTTTCACTGTCCCGGGACTCTCACCGCCGGAGAGAGAGAGAGACTCGTCTCCTGCTTTCAGCCGCAACTCTCGGGAGTTTCACCGAGAGTCACTGACCCGGGAGATACTAAAATGGGGAAGCACGCCCCCCTCCCTGAGCAGCCCCCAGGCGGACACCGCTGAACCGCAGTCACCCTCATTACCCTCGTCGCCGGGCTCCCGTCCTCCCTCACAGCCGCTGCCGAGCTCCTTTGTCTGGAGGAGACAGAGATCCCCGCTCACGTTTCCAGAGAGCCGGCGACTCTCAATCCGTAACTCGCACGAAAAACAGCTACCAGGCTTCCTGGAAACGGCACGGGTCCCTTCTGCTCTTGAACAAAACACGTTTCGTCTGAAAGCCCAGTGTGGGTGGATGATGTTGGAGGGGTTGTCCCGACGGATGGGTGAAAAACAGTCTTGACGTCTGAGATGAAATATTTCAGTAGCATTTTTGTTTTTACACTATTGATTTGTTTTAACTTAAGAGGAGCTGTAGTTTCTCACTGCCGCCCTGAACCTCTGACGCCTGTGGGGCGTTAATTAACGGTTGCAACTGTTCTGGCAGTGATGTCTGGGAGTAGGGCTGTTAATGTCTCTCAGCTCAGCATTACAGCTAGAATACTCAACGTGCTGCCCAGTCACCTTCCACTCCAGTGTTTACCTCCAGCAAGCTGCTTCATTATTTAGAGCAGAGCCGTCCAGTCCCGGTCCTGGAGTGTAGGCCAGCTCCAGGTTTTCATTCCAACTCCGCTCTTAACAGGCTACACTAGCTGGTTACTATCTGACCTGGGCATTTTAACTTCTCCGGGCTTTAAAAAGGCCCTGAGAACCTGTGGACACAGGACTGGACACCCCTGATTTGCAGGAGCAGTTTTACTGTGAAGTTACTCTGCAGTGGAATGAGTGGATGGAGTTGCTTGTTTCTCTTCAGGGCTGTGGAACTCTGTCAGGCGGACAGAAGGAGTGACAGAACGGGACACGTACTGTGGACTGGATTCTTCTCTCTCAAGGCTCAAATGACAGAACTGCCACAGTCCCTCCCAGATACCCATCCTGTCACTTCCCGCCATTTATAAGGAAACGCGTTGAAGTTGTGGGATTCTTGATTTTCTGCAGTCGTGAGAAACGCAATATCACTGTTCTCTCAATTAGTCGAGATACGCAATATCTAGGGCACAGTACTTGTGGTTTGTTCCAAAGTGCAACCATCCCTGCCTTGAATGCATTAGCTCTCAGTGCTCTGCTTTGTGCAACAGTATTAAACTCTGCACCAAGAGACATTGCGTCTCCCGCTAAAACAACTCTTTGAAAAGAGCTACAGAAAACACAGCAGACGATCAAAATCTTGCACCATTTAATTGTTAGCCTGCACGGCTCATTGATTCCCTTCTGCCTTGGTGTTCACATAAATCTCACACCTCACAGGGAGTCCTGATTGCAGCCCAGCAACACAAATCACCACTCAGTGGTGAACAGGACTTTCACATGCTGAGAGGGCTGGAGAGGAAGAGGTCTCAGTCTTCCCAGCCGGGCTGCGAAGAGAAGCCACACTAACCTTCGAGAACCTCAAGAAGTCGTGCAGTGACCACGCGGGACCTCGCCGAGGTGGGGCACTGGATGGTCACCCACAAAATGTGGCTTATGTTAAAGAAACAGAACCCGTGATGATTACAACAGTAACATACAGGAACGTGGGTGGCGGGGGAGCTCTTTTGAATGAAGCATTTCAAATCTGTCTCAGACAGAGTGGCACACCTCTTGTTCTTTCTGGCCACGAACAACTCAGCCAAAATCAGCAGACTGTGCCGATAAACATTTCAAGTTGGCTTAACTTTTCGAGTTGGCTCAAAAAGAGTAGGGGTGTTACCCCGGCGTCCTGGCCAAATTTCCCATTAGCCCTTATCAATCATGGTCTCCTAATAATCCCCCTCTCTGAACTGGCTTCATTACTCTGCTCTCCTCCCCACTGAGAGCTGGTGTGTGGGGAGCGTTCTGGCGCACTATGGCTGCCGTCGCATCATCCAGGTGGGGCTGCACACTGGTGGTGGTGGAGGGGATCCCCATGACCTGTAAAGCGCTTTGAGTGGTGTGTCCAGAAAAGCGCTATATAAGTGTAAGCAGTTATTATTATTATTAAACCCTCCAGGCAGCAGCGAAGACAATGAAATAAAAACCATGCGTGTGTGCAACTGAATCTAATATGGGTACCAATGAGCAAAACTAGAGAAACAAGGGCAAGAAACGCAGAAAACAGAAGAGAGACCAGTACAGGCTCTTCCACGTGCGGCGCTACATCAGAAGACTCACGTGTCTTGACAGCCATGTCTGCTTGACAGGTCCTGCTCCTCAGCGATGGGCTTCGTCCTCACTCGCCAGCCTGGTGCAGAGAGACAGACGGGGCTCTCGTGTCACTGCGATCTTCCCCCTGCTGCCTGACAGATCAATCTGAAAGCTGCTCTCTGTTCTATCAAAAGTCTTAACCACAGTTTCTTCTCTCTTAAAGGAACAGTGACAGCTATCTTCAGCTCTCTCTCTCAGCTACACTTCCTGAGGAGGCTGCTGTCTCGCCACAGATCGAACCGGCCATGCCCCTTTCCTCACCTCTTGACTCATTACAATTACATTTGGACCACCTGGCTCGTTTGGGTTTTAGTGCTTAATTAATCCAGCCAGTTTTTGAAAGAAGCCAGGGCACAACATAACTGACGGCTTGTTCCAAACCTCCACAATCGTTTGTGTAAAGAGGTGCCTACGGTTACACAGAGTCACTTTGCTGTAATTGCCACCTGCTTCATCTTTCAGAATTGTTTCTGAAGAGGCCCACTGGGTTGACTATATTGCCACTTGCAGTTTAAGTTATTCTTTTCTTGGGCAGAGTATCTAAAGCCTTTTGGAAATGTAAATATACAGGCTGTTCTATTTGTACTTTTGCTACTGGTGCTTGCCTAAAAACCCTAACAAATTAGCTAAGAAAGACCTAATTTAACTGTTCATGTAACTGAATCCACGTTTATTATCCTCCTAAAATTCTATTGGCCCTGAGACGCAATCCTCAAGCTCAGTTCGAGAGTTTTGCCTGTTCTTGATGCTCAAATCTGCAACGCTGTTCGAGTTGATCATAATTCTCACTGTCCAAAAATGTATTTGGTCAAATTCAATGCAGTTGTATTAGTGTACACCAGGACAGGACACCTCCCCAAAGCAACACCCCTGCTCATCAGGTTTGCTTGATGGTTACAGGCAGCTCTCAGTGTTCAGCTGGAGCTGTGTATCTCTTGTGGATGAGAGCCATTCTCTCCTCCTGGTCTTTCTCAGCAGTAGGGTTTTGTTTTGAGTGTGCTGTGGTCACACGAGCTGTGTGGGAGACAGAAGCAAGCTCTCCATCTCGAAGGCTGCTGTGGAGAGCTCATCAATGAGCAGAGGGCAGGGCTCACGAGTAACATGTTCCTCTTGTGCTAGTAGTAGCTGTAGTAGCAGCTGTAGTAGTAGTTGTACTGTAGCTATGGAAAGTTTAGGTGTGATGGTGGTCTATGGTTATTTGTGTATCACCAGAACTCCTCAGGATGTGGGTGCAAAAGGTTCACTTGTACCTGTCTATCTGTGGTGTCAGAAAGTGCTCATGAAAAACAGCAACATGTCAGACTCCCATGTGCAATTGGTGCCCACGCAGAGACGCAGAACAACAGTGCAGTACGAGCAACAACTAAAACACTGGGAAAACCTACCCAAACCGGCCCAGTCGCCCCTCACAGAATCCCCACTTGTGACAGAGGCCTGTTGTCAAATGCAAGTGCCTGGTGCCAGGAGTTGGGAGTGCAGGTGGGTAACGTTTCTTATTAAATTGAGCCTGAGCCCTGCAGGTCTGCATCAACCTGTCCACCTCCCAGCCTCCTCCTGGCCCTCTAGCTGCAGGGCAGCGATTAGCAGAGCGGACCCACATAGTCTGCAGGGTGAGCGCCCCCCGCTGGCCCCACTAACACCTCTTCCAGCAGCAGCCTTAGTTTTCCCCAGGAGTCTCCCATCCAGGTATGACCAGGCTCACACCTGCTGAGCTCCAGTGGGCTGCCAGTTCTGAGTTACAGGGTGATACGGCTGCTGGCATTACAGTAGCGACAGGAAATACATTTGCTCATGTTTGAAGATGGGGGTCTGAATCTAATCCAGCACAAAGAGTCACCTACTGCTGTCCTGCCTGCTGGTTTCAGATCCGCATTCTCTACCTCAGGAGAAAAGATGGTTTCTTTTTTTTGCATCTGCCTCATTTCCTGTTATTATCCAGCACAGGTGGGTTGTGGTCTGGGGCCATATGCTGAGGCCAAAGGCAAGACACAGGTTTTACCCAACAGTCCTGTCCAGGCAGTTTCACCAGGCTGCTTAGGTCCAGAGAAGAACCTTCTCCCCCTGTTCAGAAAGCAGCTGTAAAAGCTTCGAGCTGAAAAGAAAGACGATGGGTTCCTTAGGTGTAGACACACTCAATGTTCATTTTCCTTTGCTGAAACGTGAAGGGTCTTATGGGCTCATCCAGAGCCATGCTGTCTGGTTGTTTTTCCTCTCGCAGTAAAGCAGGTGTGACGGGTGTGAGGACAAGGAGGTCCTGTTCGGCACTCAGCTGGTGAACGGCAGTGCACCTTCTGGCAGACGGAGACTGCGAGAACCGCCACATTACACCAGCAGCCACCAGCTACTCCCAGCGATCCAGCTCCTGGTGGACCTTCAAACCTGGGTCTTCATTCCAGCCGACAGCTCAGTTACTTAAGTGAATGCATACCATGCTCAGCAGGAATGTTAAAAAATAAAGCAACTATGGTTTCATAACCATTAAGAGGTTTTAAGACCTATTTGAAAATCTATTTTACCGAGAAAGAAAACTGCTCTTCTTCATCAAAAATACTGGTTCATATGGGGATCCGAATCCATATCGAAGAAATCCAGCAGCCCTGTCTTCTGTGCCGCACGCAGCTCGCTGCCTTGAGCATGCTGGAACCATGACAACGAGACAAAAAAAAGTTTCCAAATCAGATCTAAAAAGTTGCTGAATGCGAGGCTGGACGCGGGCAAACTTCCCCGCAGCGTCAGAGAGAAGTCGGATTGCTTCATCAGGGTGGTCGGTTGCTGACAGGAGCTGTCACAACTGTGCTCGGCCCGCTCCTCTGCTCTGCCACCCTAGCAGGGCGGTTGGCTCTTATTGTTAATAAAAGCAGATGTGCTCCTGCTGATGCAGGGGCCTCAGACCCAGTTCCTTCTTCGGTGTTCTGCTCTGCTAATCGCTGCCCTGCAGCTAGAGGGCCAGGAGGAGGCTGGGAGGTGGACAGGTTGATGCAGACCTGCAGGGCTCAGGCTCAATTTAATAAGAAACGTGACCCACCTGCACTCCCAACTCCTGGCACCAGGCACTTGCATTTGACAACAGGCCTCTGTCACAAGTGGGGATTCTGTGAGGGGCAACTGGGCCGGTTTGGGTAGGTTTTCCCAGTGTTTTAGTTGTTGCTCGTACTGCACTGTTGTTCTGCGTCTCTGCATGGGCACCAATTGCACATGGGAGTCTGACATGTTGCTGTGTTTTTCATGAGCACTTCCTGACACCACAGATAGACAGGTACAAGTGAACCTTTTGCACCCACATCCTGAGGAGTTCTGGTGATACACAAATAACCACAGACCACCATCACACCTAAACTTTCCATAGCTACAGTACAACTACTACTA